CGTGCCGTGCCGTGCCGTGCCGTGCCGTGCCGTGCCGTGCCGTGCCGTGCCGTGCCGTGCCGTGCCGTGCCGTGCCGTGCCGTGCCGTGCCGTGCGGTGCGTGCGTGCGTGCGTGCGTGCGTGCGTGCGTGCGTGCGTGCGTGCGTGCGTGCGTGCGTGCGTGCGTGCGTGCGTGCGTGCGTGCGTGCTTTCGTGCGTGCGTGCGTGCGTGCGTGCGTGCGTGCGTGCGTGCGTGCGTGCGTGCGTGCGTGCGTGCGTGCGTGCGTGCGTGCGCGTTTGTGCGTGCGTGCGTGCGTGTGTGCGTGCGTGCGTGCGTGCGTGCGTGCGTTGCGTGGGTGCCTGGGTGCGTGGTTGCGTGCGTGCGTGCGTGCGTGCGTGCGTGCGTGCGTGCGTGCGTGCGTGCGTGCGTGCGTGCGTGCGTGCGTGCGTGCGTGCGTGTGTGTGTGTGTGTGTGGGTGCGTGTGTGTGTGTGTGTGTGTGTGTGTGTGTGTGAGGGTGCGTGCGTGCGTGCGTGCGTGCGTGTGCGTGCGTGTGTGTGCGTGTGTGTGCGCGTGTGTGCGCGTGTGTGCGTGTTCGCGCGCTCATGCAACATGTTGGTGGTGCATATGAGATGGTGGGTTGGGCAGAAACCACAGGTTCCCAGCGTTCCAAGAGCTTGAGTCAGATGAGGCCGCGATGGTGAGCATTGACCGGGCGGTTGAGTCTCCAATTGCTTTGGGCTCGCGGGATGAGTTAGGGCAGCTTGGACTTGCACCACTAGTTTTCTGACTTACGGCCATGATCCTGACAGGTTGCTAGCAGCTTGGACATGATATTTTACCGAGCCCCTGGCTGCAGGTCTCACGCGCCAGAGCCGTTGCCACTTCCAGTGCCTGGGAGAAGATCAACTGCGCACGAGTTTTCAACTTTCGCTGTGGGAGCCACTTACACCTTGCCCCCGTCATTTGCAAATGGGAATTCAAACCCTATGGCGTCCTGGATTGACAAACCTAGGGATGGGGGGGGGGTATTTCAACAAGAAAGGAGGAGCCTTTTCTTGAACACTTGCCCATTTATTTATGCGGTTTTTGCTGCCACCCGCATTGCAGCGTTTGCACTCCGTAGATTTTGGCGCTTGGAGTGTCCCCAAGAATGACCCAGGACATGCCTAACCCGCCGCTCCACTGGTTGGGCGAGAAGGTGCCTCCGCAGCGATGGCTGCCGTGCCCCTAGGGAGTGAGGGGGAGAGTCAATTTTGCTCGCGAATAGTGACACCTTTTTTCACTGGCTGCTTTTGGAGAGTGCCAGGGTGTAGCTTGTTCTCCCCCGATCCTAGTGGCCCGCTGTGTGTCGCGAAAACGTGAAGTCCCGGGCGTATCAAGCTCGAAGTGAACAAGGAATGCTGTTTGTTTCCCCCTCAGATCGTTGTGGGTCAAACTCCCCCTTCCCATGACACCTCACCCCCTCACCTTCTCGGCAAAGCGAGGCCCCTGGAGGAGCCTGGAGCACCTTGGACTTACGCAGCGCCGCGCGGTGCGTTTGGGTTCTCAAAATCGGAGAGCCTCCAAGATGCGTGGTTGGATGATTTCCTCGTACGCCGCAGGTGCTTGCCACGCCGCGAATGAAGCTTTGATATCCTTGGTTCCACTTCATATCAATTGTGTTTGTTTCCAGTTTGTTCCTCCACACTGCAATTTTGGCACAAAGTCATGGAATACCTAGAGTCATTCGCGGCCTTGTTGGGCAAGGCACTGCTGCTTTCATGCACGTATGGGCCCTGTTCGCCTTTGGGGTCAGCATTGCTGAGCCCAGCTAAGGCAATTTGCCAACAGCAGGTATCACCAGAGACGTCAGGGAACTTTCCTAGCTCGCAGCGCATGCACGCCGTTGGCAATGCGGCAGAGAGGCTCCGGACCAACTGATTCCTGCATTGTACAAAAGTCATACACTAAGTTTTTTGTTTTGGAAAAGACACGGCTTGAGTCTTGAGACCCGCATACACCTGCAGCCAACAATGCTTGGCTCCAACCAACCTGATTCCCGCACGATGTTTTCCTCCGGCAGGTGGGCCGTCCTTGCCGACCGCGTTTTGGCATGGAAGCGCCAGAGCATGTTGCGGCGGGGGCGCTTTCTCATCGCTACAGACCCGCATCACATCACCTCAAAGAGCCAAGCTGCAACCCGGCCAGCTGGAGCGAGTCGGTCCCCCGAAATCAAACACATTAGGTTGAAACCTCTAAAAGGGATCCCCAAAGGTGTCCCCTGAAAGGAATGGTTTTGGGTTCCATGTTAGATGGTACTATCTTAGCAAAACATTGCAACCCTCGCAAACATTTGTATAAACTTGTGCCAAGCATTCTTGTCAAAACACAGAATAAGATATACATTGCGGACATTCCTGCTTAAATGTTAGAACGTTGTATAAATCAAGACAAATGATTAGCAACATTTTTAAGAAAGCATTGAACAAAGCAACAAACAATAAAAGTAAACTTAGTATGCTGGAAGCATCCAACACTAGGATGCCAACAACTCGCAGACACATACAAAAGCATTCTGACAATCCAAAACACACACATTTGTACACACCATGCATTAAGCAAACACAGTCAGACTTTGTCAGCCGCCAACAACAACATTTCAGGAATGTGGAATGGTGAACTGTTTGAGGCCGGAGCTGCGCATGGTGTGGTTGCTGAGCATGGCTCGGGAGACGAACCAAGGAAGCATTGGCTTCCATAATTTTGGAGGATCCAATTTGGCATGAAGATTTCCGCCAGCTGGCTCGTGAGTGCAGCAGGCAGGCTGTTGCATGTGCAGGTGAGGCCTGCCCTCATGTAGGGCAACATCTTGTCTTGTTTGACAACTGCAAGACCTCAGACTTGTGCACCAAGAGACTTGCCAAGAGACTGGACAGTGAGGAACAACCCTTTCAACACTGGGAACTTGGGTAGGCCTCATGTGGTGCATTAATTCCAAATTTGGTTTCCAAACGAAGCGGGGAAATGGCACGGCCATGTTTTGCAAACCTTGTTGACTATTTGCCAGTAGCGTGCCTGCTCCTTCCAACTGCAGCCCTTTCAAAACTCATTTGATTGCCGTCAACTCCTTGCCTGCGAGCTTGTTTAGATGCGTTCACCACAGCTTCTCCTCGTCTCCAGCCGTTTTATTCGTTTTCTTGAAGGTTATGAACTGAGGCTGTGCTACACAAGCATCTTGCCCAGAACATTCGCGTATTCGGCCGAGTCACCGAACCATTATCAATTCGCTATACTTCTCCAGTAGTATTTACTGTAATCTTATGGCTTCCTTGCTCAATGAGCATATGGCGTATTTTGCCGCAGAACAATCGCTCAATTTGAATGCAGACGCGTGGGAACATCCAGCATCCGAGAAGAATGTACCTTGGCTACACCTGACAGATGGAGCACTCAGCCAATACTCGCTTCCCACTTTCCTTGCCGCACACAGTTTCCCAGCCGTTCTGCCATTTCCACACTTCACTCTCTGTTTGCCGCTTGGTACACACTTTTGTAATTGTTGGCACTGCGTGCCAGAGTCCCTACAGGGCAACCCAGGTCCAAACAGGCCAGTACGAATTGGCCGGCAAGGCCACATGGGAATTGCTCCGCCCAGCTTTGCCTTGTTGGATAATGGGCCTCTCTAAAATGCATTCCTCGGCCATGATTGTGGGCAGGCGGGACGGATTCCGTGCAGCCCGGCCAGGTTCCTCGCTGCTGGTTCAGAAGCCTTCTACGAGGGGAGTTCTTCAGCGCCAATTATGAGCCATGCCCGTCCGGTGCTCTTCTGAGCTGGGTGTGTGCGCACAAATCAGCCATAGCGCGCGCTCAGGGAAGCTAGCTTTGCAGCAGCTTCATTCTCCGGGTTTGACTTTTGCTGCCACGGAACAGTGGGAACAGCTCGCAAATTGGCGGCGCATAGGCAGGGTCGGATCATTGAGGATTTGGCCGCCAGCTATGCAGCTACGTCTCGCTGCCAGCCCGCTATAGTTTCACAGCGTTTTGCAATCTCGGTTTGGAATTGCACTCCGGAAGGACCACCAGAAGGTTACGTGTATGATGTGTGTTTGCGCGGCTTCTGACAATCCCGTCGAAGGACGCAAACACTTCGCAACCTGTGGTTTACGCTCACAGTGCTGCATGGGATCGGCGATAGGCGTGGCCAAGTTGAGACCTCCAGTGCCGAGTTCCCACCTGACTGCAAATCAATGAGCAGTCTGCAGCGTTCCTTTTCCAAGTTTGCCTCTGACTCTTGCGGTCTCATCCGTTGTTTCACCCCCGCTTCGTCCAGGATATCAAGCGAAGCGTAGAATCTATCAGAGTGGGCGGCGAACTCCCCCAGACGCATCCCAAAGCTATGCCGGTGGATTTGCCAATACCTGTGCTCTAGCTGGCCGCTCAGGCTGAAGGCTTTTCCGCCCAAAGGGGTGTTTAAAAAAATGGAAGCGATGTTTGTTTTGTTCGGATGTAAGCCAAATACATGCCAAGTGCAGCATTTTCGCAACGCAGCTTCTCGGCGTTTCTCATGCGAAATGCATGCATTTTCTCACAGCCAGAGCTCAATGAGTTGCAGTGCTACGGAAAGTTCTTTGTTCGGCTTGTTTGACAATTATCCCCCTTGAAAGAAAAGTCCAGCATGCCTCAGTTGACCGCCGGCGGAGGTCATTTGACGGGAAACTAAATCCGCAATGTGCCTTATATTCATTTGGGCCAGTGGCACATTTGCAAGGCCCTCAATATATTGCCGCAAGCTCGAAGGGACCATGGCTCTATCATGTTCAGTTTCTGCAGTACTCAAGCCTTTTGTAGTCATGTCCCACCCAGATTTCGCTTGCGATGTTTGTTTGTCATCGTTGCGCTTGGTACTGCTCGTGCTAGATGCAGCAGCAGAAGCAGCGCGTGCTCTGCAAAGCATTCGTGACATCTGCGGCGCCACAATGTATAAAAGAGTGTGCTTGTAAGCGAGCTGGAAGATGGATTTGTCGGATTGATGTGTGTGTGTGTGTGTGTGTGTGTGTGTGTGTGTGTGTGTGTGTGTGTGTGTGTGTGTGTGTGTGTGTGTGTGTGTGTGTGTGTGTGTGTGTGTGTGTTTGTGTGTGTGTGTGTGTGTGTGCGCATAGGGCTAAAGCCACAAGCTTTCGGCCCAGCTGCTCCAGCCTTGAGCCGTTGGAGCCATGCAGCGAGCCATGCTAGCGGAGCCGGTGACACAAGCTGCAATGCAAGGCGCTCCTGGGGCACTTGCGGCACCTGGCCCACCCTACAGATTGGTCTCAGGGCCCCCGAGCTCGGGCTATGCGCCGGCCTGCGCCAATGCGCCTCCCTTTGCTTGGAGCGCAGTTGGCGTCCTACCTGCGCCGCTGGCTTCAGCCATTCCAGCCTTGCCCCAAAGCCCGACCGTTCCGTCGGGAGCTGTGCGGATGGTCTCAGCTCAGATGCCACAGGCCATGCCACAGGCCATGCAGGCCGTGCCACAGGCCATGCAGGCCATGCCACAGGCCATGCAGGCCGTGCCACAGGCCATGCAGGTCGTGCCACAGGCCATGCGGATGGTCTCAGCGCCGTTGGCGGCGCAGCTGAGGGCGATGCCCGCAGAGGGAGCTCCAGTACTCTTAATGGCAGCCCCAGCCGCACCGCCAGCACCAGCACCGGCAGAACCGGCAGCACCAGCCCAAGCAGTCAGCCAGGCTCGGGCGGCAGCGGCGATGGTGTGGGCAGCGCCTCAAGCCTCAACAGCTCCAGGCAAACCCAAGCTGGCAATAGAGGATGTAGGTGGCACAACGCTTGCTGGATCGCGCTCTAGAACATCAGCCTCTGCATCAGCTTCTCCAGCATCAGCTGGGCTTTCCAGAGAAGATGGTGGAGCAACGACGGCGAAGAAGTCGAATCCCAAGAAGGCAAAGAGGACAAAGAAGTGCATATGTTGCCAGTGAGCCAGTGAGCGGACCCTATTTGTTTGTGGTGATTCCATGAAAGATCTTCAACGTAGGCGCAAAGGTGCCAAAATGGGCACACCACTTTGCTGTCCTTGTTGTGACTCACGTACCTAGGACTGTGCACTGGCAACCGCGTGACAAAATAAGATCTGAGCTGATGCGATGCTGTTTTTCAAAAGCTTCTTTTGATCGGTGATGGGTTCATCCAAACTCCAATGCGTGTCTCAGGCCACTCTTGAAGGCACGAACCGGTGTGAGCCATGGCTGCTTTGCCCACGACCGTGGTCTCTGCCCCGGGGACTGGCACGGTGTACCCGGGCACCATGAACGCGATGCCCACGTACGCACCAACCACGTACACGGTGCCAAGCACTTATGGCAGTTACTCAGTGGGGACCGGCAATGTTCAGTACCCAGGCACCGCTGTGGTCGCAAGCACCGCACCTGCGCCACTGCCCACATCGTTCACGGGCTATTCAGGCGCAGCAGCGCTGCCCACAACAAGCTGGATGCAGCCAGCGCTTCCGACAGTTCAGCCCATGCCCACAGTCCCACAGAGCTACCCCATGCAGACTTACGCAACGTCTCCCTATGCATTTCCAATGCAAGCTTCCCAAGCCCCTCCCCCGAGCATGCCACCTCAGGGCATGCTGGGAGCGCCAATGCCGACCATCCTGACCCCTCAGGTGCAGCCTGCGCAGGAGCCGCAACAGATGCAACAAAGCATCTCATCACAGGTGCAGCAAAGCATTTCATCGGTGAGCGCTGTTCCGCCAAGCGGAACTCCGGCGGCCTCCCTTGTCGCAGGCACGCCGGCAGGCACGCCGCTCGCAGCTGGCACGCCGATTGCCTCAGGCACGCCCTTTGGAGCCCCCACAATGCCCATGGCCTCAGGGGCGGCCGTTGCAGCGGGGACACCGATGGCGGGCACGCCCTGCGCAGCTGGGACGCCCTGCGCAGCTGGGACGCCCTACGCGGCTGGGACACCCTGCGCAGCTGGGACGCCAATGCAGTCCCTCCCCACCCAGTCCTTTGTGGCGCTAGGCAGCCAGGGCGTTCCTGCATTGCCAGCCACCAATGCCGTCCTGGCTCAGGCAAGCCTTCCACAGGCAGGTGTTCCTGCTGAGGAGACGGTGAAGACTCAGTCCAAGGACCTGCGGAAGGGGAAGAAGACAAAGAAGTCCAAAAAGTTCTTCGGCATTTGCTGCTGAGATGCACAACTTTCAGTCTGGTACAGTAGAGGTATGTTTTGCGCCATAGCAGGTTCCGCACCAGGAAAAGTGTGGCCGTTTGATGTTGGTGCTGCTTGAAGGGGCTTCTCCTCTGATTTCCAAGGCGTGACCGTGAAGCCCCGCACAAACAACTTTTACCGGCTTGATGGCAGTTTTGGGGAAACATGTTGTGTTTAGCTGATTGGGAGAGCAAAAGTGGCTTAAACGTGTTTGACGACCTGTTTTGCTGAACCCTTCAAGAAGTTTTTGTGTTACCGCAGCTCCCAGCATCGCATCTTTGCGCCTGGGCCGCGTGGCTTGGACCTCGGGGATGAAGAAACCATGTCCCGCAAAAATCGTGGGAAATCGGGCCAACTTGGGAATCACCTTTCAAGGAGTCATGATTTATGATGTGCTCGCAAAGGTCATGTGGTTGTGGCTGCGACTGGCCGGTTGCTGAGGACATGGAGAACCTCGACCTTGCTCGGGGCCCGGAAAGGGTGGCTTCCTGGAGGTTTGAGGCGAGGATTCCAACAAATCAACACGAAGGAGCCGACAGGAATCTTCCCGTAAGCTCGTGGCACAGCCCCCGATGCCAGGGCCGGAAGGATTTTTGACCCGGATACACATAGCAGGTCCCCGGGTTCAAATCCGGGTGTGCCCTCGTGACAGCCACGAAGTGATGGAAGTGGCTTTGAGCTCGATGTGATAGGCATTGCGTGCTGGCCATCTGACTTTGCCCCTCCCAAAAAAACACTAAACGTATTTACCTTATTCCCACTAACATGGCACATGACAGGCGTCCCTACAAGAGGAACAACATTTTTGCATTGCAGGTACGCTCTCATGGGTTCTATGTTAGTGGAAGGGAGGGTGGCGCCAGCGAATCTTAGGTGCTAGCAGCCTCCCCGCTGCGGGACTGCAGCAATGACGCCCAGGCCCGGTCTTGCCATCGTAGGCTTGAAAGTTCCGTTGGGCCCCAAGTGGGACACCAGATGTACAGAGATATGTGTTTTGCGTCCTCGGCCCATGGGCGGTCAACTTCTTTCCGTGCGAGCGGCGGTTTGGCACGGGGTGGTGTTGGAGCGCGCTGGCGAGGTTGAGACCTTCAAGACGCCCAAGCGGCGCAGTTGGGGTGGGGAGGACGGCCATGGAAGCGAGGCGAGGGAGAGGCGCCCAAAAGGCAGTTGATGCAAGGATCTCAAGCCTGGAAGATGGACGTGGAGCCAAAACTCCACATCGCGAAAGGAATCCTCTAAAGATTGGTCCGCGGTTCTTTGCAGGAGGGTAGGAGCTGCTGCGCTTTTCTTTTTGCCCCGCGGCGCCCAGACCATGGATCCCCGCAAGCGAGGACAGGATCCGGCGCTTGAGCCGCGGATCGGAGGAGCGCAGGCTGGGGCTTTCCAACATGACAGCCGGGCTTTTCTCATCGCGGGGACGGATTTTCCGGTGATTTGCTGCGTTGTCTCGTTGCTTGAACTGCACCATTTCGGATATTTGCTTTGATTGGCTCGAGTGCTTTCGTTCTGGAGACAGAGGTTTGATTCCTCGATTTCTTTTAGTCTGTCTGGTCTGCCGCGACTCCGCCAGAAAATGTGCGAGCAAAGCACGCAGTCGTTGTGGCCAGGCCGATCGCCGAAGCTGAGATGATGAGCTTTGCAGTGAGCTAAGGCTTGTTGACTCGCACTTTGAAGGGCTGGCCGGCCACCAATCAGGTGGCCAGCGGCTCCAGCAGCTTGCATTACTCTTGTAACGACGCTTTTGCAGCCCTCACTACACATGGGGCTATGGACCCTCAAGTGGGGATGCCTGTTGTTGGGTCTCTGCAGATCACTGAGGAGGAGATGCGCAAGCAGCAGGGGGCCCAGTGGGAGGGCATGGCCGTGTCCGAGTGAGTCACAACAAACCCTGGGGCAAATGAAGGTGAGGAAGGAAACTCCCACACACCTGTCATGTATGCATGTGGCCGCTTGAATTCTACCAACGGGTTTCAGTAAAAAGGCGAATGGCGAAGGAAGAAAGGGCGCAACTAATAATAAATAGAGGCGGTATCGGCTCCTTGGTAGTGGGAACCCCGCATTAATAAACCGGGGTGGATGCACATGGGGTCAAAATTATGGTGTTCTCTAGATACATGTAACGTGTACAAATTAGCGAGTAGTGACATTCGCCGAACATTAGTGAAACGAAATGCTGGACGTTTCCTCAGCTTCGTGGGATGGGAGGCATGAGTTGCCCCTTTCAAAGGGAGCTTTTTGAAGCTCTGGGCCCCATTTACTCTGGTGAGTTCTTGGCAAGCAGATTCTTTTTTTTTTTGGGTGGGCGGGGTAACCCAAGACTCATCTTCAGGGGGCTTGGTCACTTAATTTCTTGCAGTGTTGCCCAGCCGGTGCCGAAAACAGTTCTTCAGACGCAAGATGTCAGACTGTGGTCGTGCTGTCGCACTGGAGTGTGTGTGTGTGTGTGTGTGTGTGTGTGTGGTGTGTGTGTGTGTGTGTGTGTTTGTGGGTGTGCGTGTGCGTGTGCGTGTGCGTGTGCGTGTGCGTGTGCGTGCGCGCGCGTGCGTGCGTGCGTGCGTGCGTGCGTGCGTGCGTGCGTGCGTGCGTGCGTGCGTGCGTGCGTGCGTGCGTGCGTGCGTGCGTGCGTGCGTGCGTGCGTGTGTGTGTGTGTGTGTGCTGTGTGTGTGTGTGTGTGTGTGCTGTGCGTGTGTGTGTGTGTGTGTGTGTGCTGTTTTTGATTGGTTTTGTGTTGTATGTGTGCGTGCGTTGTGTGTTGTGTGTGTGTGTGTGTGTGTTTGTGTGTCGTGGGTGTGGGTACGTGGGTGTTTGCGTGTGCGTTGTCGTTGTGAGTGTGCGTCGTGCTGTGTTGCGTGTGCGTGTGGTGGGCCTGTGTTGCGTGTGCGTGTGCGTGTGCGTTTGTTGCGTGTGCGTGTGCGTTTGTGCGCGAAGGAAGGAAGGGATGAAGGAATGGATGGAAGGAGAGGAAGGAGAAGGAAGGAAAGGAAGGAAGGAAGGAAGGAAAGGAAGGAAGGAAAGGAAATCGGAAGGAAGGAAGGAAGGAAGGAAGGCAGGGAGGGGGGGAGGGAGGGAGGGTGAGGCGGAGGGAGGGGGGGATAAAAGGGGGGGAGGGAGGGAGGGAGGGAGGGAGGGAGGGAGGGAGGGAGGGAGGGAGGAAGGAAGGAAGGAAGGAAGGAAGGAAGGAAGGAAGGAAGGAAGGAAGGAAGGAAGGAAGGAGGAAGGAAGGAAGGAAGGAAGGAAGGACCCAGCCCAACCACCCCGCTGATTTGTAGAAGTTTGACAGTGGTTAACGCACCCTTTGCTGAATCATCACTTCTTCGAGCATCACCAACCCCCCCGCTGATTTTCAGAATGTTTGCAGAGATTACCGCACCCTTTTCCTGAATCATCACTTCTTCGATCATCACCACCCTTTGTTGAATCATCACTTCTTCGAACATCATGGGGGGGGCGGCAGTCCCCCCCAACCCCCCTGCTGATTTGTAGAATGCTTACAGAGCCTAGCGCACCCCTTGTTGAATCTTCACATCCTCGAACATCATGGGGGGGGCTGCGCCCCCCCCCAACCGGCAGGCCCCCCCCCCCCAACCCCCCCCCCCGCTGATTTCATGCTGCGCCTGCGTCAAACTCCGTACCTTGTGAAAGTGCTGCGCCTGCCGCGAAATTTGTACCTCTTGCGAAAGTGCTGCGCCTGCTGCGAAATCTGGACCGCACCTTGCGAAAGTATTGCACCTGCCGCGAATCTGTACCTGACCTTGCTAAAGAGCTGCGCCTGCTGCGAAATCTGTACCTGACCTTCCTCACCCCGCTGATTTGTACAGTGATTAACATTCTTTGCTGAATCATCACTTCTTCGAGCATCATGGGGGCTGCCGCCCCCCCAACCCCCCGCTGATTTTCAGAATGTTTGCAGAGATTGCCGCACCCTTTGCTGAATCATCACTTCTTCGATCATCACCACCCTTTGTTGAATCTTCACTTCCTCGAACGGCTGCCGCCCCCCCAAACCCCCCCGCTGATTTAATGCTGCGCCTGCGTCAAACTCTCACCGCACCTTGCGAAAGTGCTGCGCCTGCCGCGAAATTGGTGCCTCTTGCGAAAGTGCTGCGCCTGTAGCGAAATCTGGACCGCACCTTGCGAAAGTATTGCACCTGCCGCGAATCTGTCCCTGACCTTGCTAAAATGCTGCGCCTGCTGCGAAATCTGTACCTGACCTTCCTTCACCCCGCTGATTTGTAGAAGGTTGACAGTGATTAACACCCTTTGCTGAATCATCACTTCTGCGATCATCACCACCCTTTGTTGAATCATCACTTCTTCGAACATCATGGGGGGAGCTGCCGCCCCCCCCAACCCCCCTGCTGATTTGTAGAATGCTTCCAGAGCTTGACGCACCCCTTGTTGAATCTTCATTTCCTCAAACATCATGGGGTGGGCTGCCGCCCCCCCCCCAACCCCCCGCTGATTTAATGCTGCGCCTGCGTCAAACTCTGCACCGTACCTTGCGAAAGCGCTGCGCCTACCGCGAAATTCGTACCTCTTGCGAAAGTGCTGCGCCTGCCGCGAAATCTGGACCGCACCTTGCGAAAGTATTGCGCCTGCCGCGAATCCGCACCTGACCTTGCTAAAGTGCTGCGCCTGCTGCCAAATCTGTACCTGACCTTTCTCACCCCGCTGATTTGTAGAAAATTGACAGTGATTAACGCACCCTTTGCTGAATCATAACTTCTTCGATCATCATCACCCTTTGTTGAATCATCACTTCTTCGAGCATCATGGGGGGGGCTGCCGCCCCCCCCCCCCCCCCCACCCCCCACACTGATTTTCAGAATGTTTGCAGAGATTGCCGCACCCTTTGCTGAATCATCACTTCTTCGATCATCACCACCCTTTGTTGAATCATCACTTCTTCGAACATCATGGGGCTCCCCTGCTGATTTGTAGAATGCTTACAGAGCTTAGCGCACCCCTTGTTCAATCTTCACTTCCTCCGGCAGCCCCCCCCCAACCCCCGCTGATTTAATGCTGCGCCTGCGTCAAACAAACTC